GTCAGAAGCTGGCATAGGCTTGCGGCACTGCTCACATTTTTTAAAGCCTGAGGAGGCAGACATAGTTCGGGAGATTCTTATTTCTTTAAACTGTTGGCATTCTCAGTGTTTTATTTATTTGTGACTGTTGTTATAGTCCTTTCCTTTCATGTGGTTTATATGTTTCTCCAGCTGAGGAGCCGAGAGAGAGCGCGCCCCGGTTCACCGGGGCTCCGGTTTAAAGCAAGTTTCAGTCCCCAAGGGGAGATTTTGTTGTCAGTTTCGTTCTTCTTACAAAAAAAAAATTGTTATTTTAAAGAGAAAAAACAAGGGAAACTAGCTTGGAGTATAACAGGGGGAAAACTGTGGTAACCTAACTAATGGAAATACAGTCTGAGAGACTGAGAGGGAGCTCCTGCTCGCTCCGACCGCTGATGAGGGCGGTTGAAGAGGAACAGAAAGGGAGGGGGTTGAGCCGTGCGCTGCAGAGGGCGGGAAGGGCTCGAGACGCCTTCTGAGTATGCGCGGCTCAGCAGGGGGGAAACTGCTTTGCAAAACTCCGATCTGCGGCTCAGGGCGACCCTTCACCCTAGAGTGGAGCACCCATAGGGACACTACTCGAAGAAGAACAAAGTATTTCCTATCTGCTCTCTTGGTGGTAGGCTGAATAGATGCAGGTGTTTTCTATAGTTCATCGGATGTTTCTATAATTGTCTTGTTTACGGGTAAGGCAATCTTCCCGTGCAAGGTGGGGTGTACATTCAACGAGCAGTGCTGTTTTTCCTGTACTTCTTGGAGAGAGACTTTTTGCTTGCTGCTACCCTTTTAAATAGCTCTTGAAATTGTTTAAGATCGTTCGTTGGGCATGTGTCAGATGGTATGACCGCGTCATCTGGCAGTGAGGAATAACTGTCTGTTGGGAAAGCATTGAATGCATGACAATCTGGGTCTCTGTCAGCTATTTGTCCCCCCTCCTCCTCAGAGTCTTCCGTAGGAGGAAGGGACGGGTTGAAGGCAAGCATCTTCTTGCTGGTGTAGAGTGTCTATATGGGTCTCAATATTCCTAAGGTGACCACTGTGATGGAAGTGGAGGGAGGGTAAGCCCAGTGTGGGTGCCAGGGGTTTTGATGAGGTCCTACTCTATAATGGTATGAGCATGAGCCCATTGGCAATGCATGCAGTGAGGAGAATGCACGCATCCGGTCACCATCAGATAAAGGACGGTGGTGAGAAAGAACCAGATATTTTAGTATGTGAGGAGCGCTACAGGCTGAAGACATAGCAGGTGAGAGACCTGCAGAGGCAGGGCACGAATGCAGATGTTTGCTCTATTAAGGGTTGATTGCAGCATCTTCACTATTGCCTGCATCAGCTGCAGGTCCGTATGCACTATCAACATGGCTGTAGGAATGTGTGGTACTGCTGGAGCCAGTGCCTCTAACTGAATGAGGGAAACTATTTATATAAACTATTAACACTATCTAAGTGGTAACTGTGAAATGCTAAATACTAAGTTAGGTAACAGCCTGAGAGGGAGATGTTGAAATTCCATCCACTGACAAGGGAGAATAAAGAGGGACTGAAAGGGAGGGGTTGAGCTGAGCGAGTAGCACATTCGGGCAGGAATGTAATGAGATGCCTCCTGCACATGCGCGGCCCAATGGGGGAAGCTGCTTTGCAAGGCTCCGATATGCAGCTCCAGGCAGCCTGCCACTCACAGTGGAGCACCCACCAGAACAGCACTGGCATGAAGCAGACCAGGTATTTGGGATATCTGGTGGAGAATGGGAAGATACAATCCCTTCAAGATAAAACTGAAGTCCTAGACAAAACCCCCTTTCCCACAACAAAAAAGCAGGTTTGGGCCTTCTTGGGGTTGACCAGTTATTACTGGTTTATTCCGCATTTTGCAACTCTGGCAGCTCCACTGTCAGATGTAACCAAGGCTTTAGCACCAAATGTCAATTGGACACCAGAATGCAAAAGACACTTCAAAGTATAAAAGATATTTTAGGAAAGCAACCAGTGCTTTGATGCCCTGATTTCTCAACCATTCGTCTTACACAGGGATGCTACTCTAGGTTTGGGGATCATGTGGTCTCAATTTCCAGGGAGTAGAACACCCCATCTTATATTTAAGCAAGAAGCTACACCCATGGGGAAACTAGGTACTCCACCATTGAATGAGAATGTCTTGCTATTCGCTGGGCAGTGGTATCCCTGAGCTACTACCTATTGGGAGCTCCGTTCTAGTTCATCACGGATCATGCACCTTTGAAATGGCTACAAGACATGATGGACACAAACCCCCAGATTACACTGCGGTATTTGGCACTGCAGCCGTATGCCTTTACAGTTGGATACCGCTCATGGTCCCAACATGGGAATGCAGATTTCTTCTCTAGGGCAGCTGCAGTTACTGATTTCGGGGACACACTCCAATCCAACTTTTCCAAGAGGGAGAGAAGTGGACTAAGCCACAACATCCCTGCTGGAAGCTGGAGGCTTTTCTGTACCCTGCCCAGCGACAGGAGCAGAAGAGAAGCCCTCCAAGCAAAACAGAGTGGCAGCATCTGCTGCAGCCAATCAGGGCGTAGCAGGCAGATATAAAAAGCTGCTGGGCCAGGGCCCGTCAGTTCCTTGCTGGAGCTTGACCCAGGCAAACCTAAGGGCTGACTAGCAGAACAGCAGCATTCCAGACAGCTCAGAGTGGGAGCTGGACTTCAGACCTGGTCAGAACCAAGTCTAGCAGCTGAAGATTAGCTGGTAAGTGAAATGCAAGACTTTGCAGAACCTTGGACAGGGAGAACTTGACCACAAGGCCCAAGAGAAAGGGCTCATCAGAGCACCTTCCCAGGGAAGTGGCCAGGAAATGTGACAGCAAACGACTTCTTTGAGACTCATCAGGTAACTGCTACTTACAGGGTCCCTGCATCAGGACCCAGAGGAGTGGGTGGGCCTAGGTCTTCCCCAACTCTAAGCAGCTACAACAGGGAGTAAGAAGAAGCCTGGTCCCAGGCCACATACTGGACACTTTCTCTCTTGCAGACAGCTGGGCGAGCAGACAGACTACAAGACTCCCTCAGCCACTGAGGGGCTCTCACACGAAGGGCAGAGCTTTTTACAGGGAGGTATGATAGAGGTCTACAAAATCATGACTGCTATGAAGAAAATAAATAAGGAAAAGTTATTTATTTGTTCCCATAACACAAGAACTAGGGGTCACCAAATGAAATTAACAGGTAGAAGGTTTTAAAACAAATGAAGGAAGTATTCACACAATGCAGTCAACCTGTAGAACTCCTTGCCAGAGGATGTTATGAAGGCCAAAAGCGTAACAGGGTTCAAAAAAGTGCTAGAAAAATTCATGGAGGATAGTTCCACCAATGGCTATTATCCAGAATAGGAAAGGTTGCAATAGGCAAGGGATGGATCACTTGATGACTATATGTTCTGTTCATTCCCTCTTGGGCACCTGACAAGCCATTGTTTCTTATACCCAGTGAACATTAAGTCAGTACAGAAACAATCCACTGTTCATTTCCATTTCCAATTAACATTAGGTTACTTGCACATCTGGATTTCCACTATGTCTGAGTAGCTGACCTCAGAAAGATATAGCATCTAATAATAATTTGATTTGAAATAGTTATCTGCTGAAATCTTCATCAATTACTCAAAAGTACCGTACTTGTAAAATGACAATTTTTCCTCTGACTAATTTAAAAAATACCAGACTAAACCAGCTTCACAACACAATAGAACATTTAAGGTTGAGATCATATATACAATGTACAAACGATTCACTTAAATTTTTTAGCAACTACTCTTTACTTTTCAGTGAGTATATTTTCCCTAAAAAAAGAAAGAAAATGATTTCCTGTAAGGTATATCATTCAGACAGTCAATATAAAACAAAGGAAACCCAAGTGTTACTTGCTATTCCTTTCTTTCTAAAGTTTAGCAAAAATATTCACCAAGACACAAATTACTATGCTAAGTGTTAAGCATTTCCCTAAGGAAGCTTTACATTTGTATGTAATATTTAGTCTGTTACATTTTTCTAGAATACCATTTTGCATCAAAACAGTTTCTGAAACTTTTTTGGGGGGAAAGCACAAATACAGAGAAGCTGAAGAAGATTATTTCTACAATGAGACCTTTAAACCATGATTTTTAACCTTTTGTCATAGCACAGTATATAAATTTAGATAGAAAGCCTATTGTTTTATAAAAGAAAAATAACTACAGCTGAGGTACATCTGACTAGTCCTACCAACATTGCTTAATTTTTAAACTGTTATAGCCCTACTGAAGTCATTGAAGGTACCACAATTTACACTAAAGAGCTGCACCCTCAACTTTAAAAGATGCTAAAGGCTCTCAAGGTCACCCATTAAAACAGTCTGAAGTTAGCATTCCAAGCAGATTTATACACAGCTTGGCACTGGTCGAAAACATGGGTTTTCCCTGGCCAACAAGTCTTCACATTTTATGTCAAGAGCTGTTGTCCACGAGGAAGCAAAAAGCCCCATACCTGATATTTTCTTAGGCTATTGTTCTGGCTGTATCATATCCTGATTTCCAAGTGAAATGCTTGTGTTTTATTGACTATGCTATTGAGGGTCTAAAGTACTCAATCATCTATGGGAAGGGATGTCAGCTGATATCTCAGAGGCTGCTCCTCCTGTCAGAATGGAGACTGCTTACCTATGACCTCAGAAGCGATACAAAAGAAAAAAGTTTATTCTACTGAAAAACAAAAGCTCTCAATTTACCACTCAGTTGTAAATAAATACAATTATTTTAAACATCTTTGAGCGCAAGTGACAAGTGTCTATAGAAGTTTAGTCTTTTGAGTTGCTATTATGTAACATAACACTAATACAGCTTCCTCCAAATCTATTTTGTTATGTTTTCATATTACATGTACTTAGTATAAATCATTTGTAACTGCCCATGAGTCCATGACTAACTGGCAATAGGATCCCTACGTTGAAGTATTATGTATTTTACGGTACCTTACTAGCAACCATTTTCGATAATATTTTCTTCTGAAATGCTATCACAGTATTAATACGTCTCTCAAGCTTAGACACTTTCTTCTACAAGAAAAAAAAAAGAATAATTTTAAGTGTTAACTTAAAATAATACACATTTACATATTTGCTACTCTGAATATGTAATAAGCAGCAGCAAAATACCCCTTAACAGTAATTGAGGTTGACATGTCACACAATAAAAAGGTTTAAAAAAAAAATAGATTTAACATTTTTCTATAAACAAGAAGTGTAATCTTCATTCTAGTGTAAGCAAATCCAGCATGAATTATAGGTACAAATGTATTCCTTCATCAATACATTAATATTTTAATATACACACAATGCAAAAAACTTACTAGAAATGTAATAGCTATTTCTTCATGTTTTTTTCGACATTGTGTTTGTTCAACTCTTCCATTTAAGCATTCCAGTTTCTGGTTAAAGACATCATTATTTAAAATATCCACCCGCTTTTGAATCAAGCATTTTACCTATAATGGAAAAAAAGTTACACATTTAATCTAGAAATCACTCATTATTGAGGTAATAAAAATATACAAAATACTTAATATTTTAAAATTTTAACTACATTTTATTTTTAAAATGTTTACATCTTAGGGCTGCCATTCCATTAAAAAATTAATTGCGATAAATCACAGTTAAGCAATATCATTTATTTATAATATTTGATGTTTTCTACATTTTCAAATATACGGATTTCAATTACAACACAGTACTAAGTGTATAGTGCTCACTTTATATGTATTACAAATATTTGCACTGTAAATGTTTCAATTCCACTCATACAAAAAGGTACATAACGATTTTTTTGTAACTGTTTTTCTTTGAGATGTGGTGTACATGTCCATTTCCATCAGGTGTGAAGATTCTTCCCCTAGCAGCTAGCCCTAGGGTCAGCTTGGGCACCCACCCACCCCCGAAGTAGCACTTCTATAGTGCCAATATATAGCCCTGCTGACCCACCCCCTCCCAAGTTCCCTTTTGCCGACAGCAATATATATTGGACAAACTGGACAGTCCCTATGGGAAAGAATTAATGAACACAAATCAGATATCCAAAAAGGTGAGGGGGAAATCTCGCTCCCCTGGGGTACAGAGCCCCCAGAAGGGTCCGAGGCTGGAGGTCAAATCAGTGAGGCAGGAGAGAAATCTAGAAGGAAAAACTTTATGATGCATGCATGCAGGCTGTCACACCAAGAGTGAAAGCAGCCCTGAGATACAGGTTTAGGTATCCTATATACAGAATGCTTAGACAGTTCAGTTGTTGATTGTTATTCTTTAACATAATCAAAGTCTCAGCAGAAGTACTCTGAGACTTCTGTTCACCCCAGGAGTGCTAGAAGTAAGTTTTACAAAACAAAGGCACATGAGAATGTGGAGTGGAGAAGTCTACAAGGCAAACTGTGACAAAGATAAGGGTTTACATGACAAATTGTGACAGACTAGGAGTATCCATGAACTTGAGATAGGCATTGTAAGGGTCTTGATTAGAGCTAATTTGATTTCTCTCTGTTACAGGGAGAGAGGCCTGGAAAACTTTTTAACCCTTACAGCAGTTTTCTTTTAGAGAGTTTTGATTTCCTGCACAGTCCCCCCTTAGACGCAATTGGAGTTATTTGATTTTTCTCCCACAAAGGCAACACAGAGAAACCTGTTTAACCTCCCTGGACACTCATCTCCAAGTTGCTGTTTTGTTTCAGACCAATCCCACAAGCCAAATACACAGAGAGAAGGACTGGAACTCCACTTCATTCTCAAGTTTAACTCTCATGCTAATGGTTTACATTGGCTGACTCGCACATTACACTGCTCTACAGCCAAAATGCTTCTGAAATAAATGTAGTCAAACTTTACTAATTCCGGGTCACTGAGAACGAAAATGATGCTTAAAATTGTTGATTGGCTCTAGTTTTCAAGATATGCTATTGGGTCAGTATATACGACCCTTGACTTGCGAATGGCAGAGGATAAGTGAGTCAAAGGGAAAGGATCTCAATTTAAACCAGAAATGACTAAAATACATCTTTGACTGGATCTATGAATAAATCTATGACTGGGTTTGGACAGTACTTGCTTTTTAGGCAAAACAATGACTGATGCAATCTGAAGCTGGTATTGCGTCATACATGATATGAATTGCATCATGTTATTCCTAGAAGTCATGGATGATGCAATCATAACGAAGCTTACATCACTCTGCTGAACAAATTGCCATATATCAGCTCTAGAAATCATACAGTGTCGTGCTCTCTTTATTTGTCAGTGTTTGATTTTGCAAAGGGACACATTTCTGTTTAGCCAAAGTGACCAGAGATGCCGCGTACTTGTGTGAACAGTGCAGATAACTTCTGCTATGTTTGTGGTGAAGTGACATTTGCATCACAAAAGCGCAGTATAACCACTATGGTGAAGAAAGCCTATCACCTTTATTTTGGCTGCAAAATTGGAGATGAGGACAAGAGGTGGGCCCTACACATATGCTGCAACACTTGCGCAACAAATCTTCGCCAGTGGTTGAACAGGAAAAGGAAATCTGTCTTTTGCAATGCCAATGATTTGGAGAGAGAGCCAACAGATCATACCAGCAATTGTTACTTCTGCATGGTGCCTCCAGTTGGGAAAGGTGTGTCAAAGAAGAAAAGTGGATCCAAACATTCCATCAACTATACGCCCAGTACCCCACGGAGAAGGACTGCCGGTTCCTGATGCACCAGAATCACTCTCACTTGAGTCAGATGAGGAAGAGGAAGAGGATGAAACTTCTGGTCCTGAACCATCAATGTCACAGGACCTATATTTTCTTCCATCCTCCTCCTCTGAACCACACCTCATAACACAAGGGCTGTGTCTACACTGGGCCACTTATTCCGGAAAAGCGATTAGCTGCGAGCTGTCTACACTGGCCCTTGAATTTCCGGAAAAGCAACGACCCTCTACTGTACAAAAATAAACCCACATTC